TTCTATATATATTATAAGTATTATATATAATACTTACTATTTGCTAAAGTTTGGATTTAGGAGGTCTCTAAGATTTGGTAGTACTGATGTGGGAGAACATTTCACAGATGTACCAAAACAACATTTGAAGAGTTAGAAGCAAGCACTAAGACAAGAACTGTAGAGGCATGTTCTAAATTTTGACAGTTGATGTAATTTTTATGTGGTTTTAATCTAAGGAAAAAAAAGCTGCCTTGGAGAAAGAAAGAGAAGAAAGGATAGCTGAAGCTGAGATAGAAAATTTAACGGGTGCTAGACATCTTGAAAGTCAGAAGCTTGCCTCCCTGTTGGCGTCAAGGCACTTGGAGATTAAACAGATCCCTTCAGATGGCCACTGCATGTACAGAGCTATTGAAGATCAGCTCAAGGATCGCCAGAATTCCTGGACTGTTGCGACTCTGAGGAACCAAACAGCAAAGTATATGCAAAGTCACTTTGATGACTTCCTGCCATTTCTTACAAACCCCAGTACTGGAGACATGTATAGCAGAGGTAAGACTTACGGCATAAGAGATTTTAAAAACTGTTACAACTATTTCTGATAATTCTTGATCTCAGGCAGCTGAACTGGGACTAACCCATTATGGTGGTTGTTCCTGAAGTTTGTTACTTTGTTGGTTCAGCTGTGTTCTATAGAACACAGTATTATGATCCGTTGTGAAACTTGGTACACCCGAATCTTTGTAATTTATCTTTCTTTTTTTTTTTTTTAAAGTAATTTAGCAAACATTCTGCATTTAAAAAAAAAAAAAAAAAAATCTAGCAAACATTCCGCATTTTAAAAAAAAAAATAAAAAATCAGAACTTGCTGGTTACTAGATGGTAGTCATATTCTGGGACGTGATTAAAGTTGTATTGTAAACAGCGTCTCTGCCAGGTTAGAGATAATTTTTTTACCAACTTTTATATTGGTGTTTTCAATTTGCTCAGAACTTGCTGGTTGCTAGATGGTAGTCATATTCTGGGACATGATTAAAGTTGTATTGTAAACAGTGTCTCTGCCAGGTTAGAGAGAATTTTTTTGCCAACTTTTATATTGGTGTTTTCAATTTGCATAGGAAAGCTGTTAAAAATGAGCATGAAATTCAAGCAGATCTATTTTATAATAGTTTGTGTAGATGCTTTTTCTTATTCTACCCTTTTTTCACTGTTTATGCTAGGTCTTTTTGAGCCCTTTCTTATAAACAGACTAAACTAAAAAATGTAAAGGCAATGGAGCAATGGTGTAGGCGGAGTAAATGCAGTTAAATGGAATTTATGTACTTCTTATTTGAGCAATACATGGTTTATTCATTTCTTACTGCATGTCTGGAACACCATGCAGATGACTTTATACATGTATGGTTTTTTAACTTACTGCTACGTTCATTTAATAGTTGTTGCTGTTGACTTCATTTGGTGACTGAGTACTGTTGTGAAGTAGGAGGTGTCTTTCCCATGTTGACAGAGAGAATCGTCACAGGATAAATGTGCCCCAAGAGAATACTGAATGAAGTTCTGCAGAGTTATGGTTTTCTTATGTTCCTTAAGTCTGTTATAATGGGAATGTATGAAAAACAATTCTGAGCAGTCTTCAGAAAAATCTCTTCTTTCTTTATCAGAATCTATTCATAGCGTTCAGAAACCTGAAGGGTTGTAACTTACAAATTTGACAAGGCAGCTAATTTGGAAATTTAAAAAAACCTCCAAACAACAGTTGAACTACATACAGTTATAAGATTTTAAAAACATACCTGATACCTAGCTACCCTAAGAACTGAGCATACTACTTGCTATCACATTCTTTTCTAGAGTCTCAAAACAACACCCTTCCTTAACAGGAAGAAAATAGGCAATTTCATGCTTGTTGTTAACAGTTCCCTGAATCAAAAGTTTAAAATATAAACCTGTACTTCTTTTTATTACCATACTTGTTTTTATTCCTGTCTTCAGTCTTTATTTTTCTTTCTAAAACAATTAGGGAGGTTTTTTTGCCTCTGGCGTTTTTCTCTTCCTTTCCATCTCTTCAGTGAACATACATATTTTCCTGTATAATGTGTTTGGACTTTTCAGGTTCTAGTTCTTCATTGTACAATCAGTATTTTTCCTTGGTTGCTTGTTCTCAAATAAGAGAAGTACTAAAAATTGTCTTTTCTTTCCCCACAGAGGAATTTGAAAAATACTGTGATGATATAGCAAATACAGCTGCATGGGGTGGCCAACTGGAAGTAAGTATTGCACTAATAATTTTTATTTGTGAAATTCTGAAGTGGATGAATATACCTTCAAAAAAGAACTTCCTAAGAAATAATAACTGAAGACATAAGGGAACGTAGTCATAAATAGTTTATCAAGAGCTTTCTCATATGGTTATAAATTCTTTTCCCAAATTAGTAGCTTTTCTGATAGTGCACCACTGTTGTGATGTATATGATAACATGGAAGTTAATAAATTCGGTAGTTCTAAATATCATTAGAAAGTGACAGTATGAGTCGGGGAAGACTTTCTAAGGAGAAAGCATTTTATTATGCGGACTTAGATGGTAGCAAAGCTGACTAGAGTGGAGCAGTATTAAAATTTTGTAAAGTAAACCAGAACTTGAGCATGAGAAAATATGTATTTATTTTAGTTTGTCTTATTTATTGTTTTACGGAAGGCTAGTTACCAAATTACTGAAGCTAGCTCAATGTTACCTGTGTTGTATCATCAAAACAATGATTAATTTGAGGCAATCTGTTTTCAATTAAAGTTTAAAAAGTTAAAATAATTTTGCTTATTTTTGTAAAGTTTATTTTCTAACAATGTTTGAAATGTTATGCCCAAAGTCATGTCTGTTAAAACTAAATGCCATATCTTCCGCTGTCCTCCCTACATTGGATTTACTCCTGTTGTTGAATTGTTTTTATGCCTTATAGCTAAGGGCTTTGTCGCACATTTTGCGAACACCTATTGAAGTAGTGCAAATGGATTCCCCTCCCATAGTTGTTGGTGAAGAATACTCAGGCAAACCAGTAATACTTGTGTAAGTATGTAATGGTATCTCTTCTTAAAATTAGTGCACTTGTTTCTATAGCAGAGGGCTCAGCTTTGATTCTCACCTGCTCTTTTATTTTCTGTTACATATCTGATGTTGAAATGCTGCTTGGATAATGATCTTGCAGGTCAGAAATTATGTTTGTGATTGACACAGTTTAAAGATATTATAACTAGAGTTCTTAAAGTGCTGACAATCAGTCTGAAGCGTGATTCAGTCACTGCTTTATAGAATGCTACAAGGTCATTTTACCTGTTAGATAATTACAAAATAATAGTGGAATTGATATAAGATGCAGCAGGAAACTTTTTTTTTTCCTCTTCAAAGTTGATGTCAATCTATGCCTGGAAGTCACCAGAAGTAAAAACAGTCTTTATTAATACTCTTCTATTTAATGACCCTATATATTTTCTGTGCTAAAACTTGAATGTATTTAAGCTGTCTTCCAGTACCGTTAATGTTTGACATGACATATACTATTAGTTAAACTGAACACTAATTCTGTAACCTGTTTTTTTAGGTATATGAGACATGCCTATGGATTAGGAGAACATTACAATTCTGTAAAACTTCTAACAGATGCTGCTACAGAAAACGGCAGTTAGTGTACAAAAGTCATAAATTCTTGTGGATAACAGTTGCATCTTGATGTCCTAGGCTCCAGACAATTCCCAGACAGACTGGAAAGTAAAACTAAATGGAATGGATTAAAAATGAAAAAAAAAGACATGCAAGGTTTGACTCTAAATCAGAAATAGCTCTTGACTTAAAACAAAACCAAACCAAAACCACACAACGTTATTTTGAACTTGTTGGTATTAATCATGTTTAGAAGACCTTCTCTAAAACGATGGCTGTGTAGATCAGAATTTTTTTTTAATAGAGCTTCATCCCATCCTGCAGTGAAAATACAGAGTAGTAAATGTTTTGGTTAATCTGCACTTCTGTTGAAAAATTAAGGTTACCTGAAGGTTCCTGTTACATTATTTCTGGCAGATTTTGATGATCATGGAAGGATTAAGGCATTTAAAATAATTGATTTTATTTTCATTGATGGAATATCCCCTACAGTGTTTCTTTAATTCTATCAGGATCTAGCTTTAACTCTGTAGTAGGGATCCCCTTCTTTATTTGGACAGAAAAGAGCTGGAGGAAAATCCAGTACTAGTATATCTTGCCTGGCTGATGGAATTGCACAATCTGAATTGCACAATCTTTTTATTTTGAAAACTTTGATCTAAGATTTTTGCCAAGGTTTGAGGATTTCACTACCTTTTTTTTTTTTTTTTTTTCCCCCCTGTTGACAGTAGGAACTGAATGCTTGTTGCTGTTCCTGGTACTGAATCTGTAGGAAGAACGTTGTTGTTGATGACTATACATCAAAACAGTGATGCAAGTTAACTGTTCTGTTCATCTTTCATAGTCTTTCATCACTGCATTTTGACGATATAGAAATCTAACACATATAAAGCTCCTCAATGTCCTCACTTCAGGTGATGAAACTCATCTGAACTCATAATTTTTGGGTCTGCTGATGTAAGCACTTTGTGATGTTTTATGATGCTTAAAACAGCTGGTTGCAATACAGGTGTAAAAATGACCACCGTGGGTTTTTTCAGTAACTGTAAAGGTGATCTGCAGAAGGATTAAGTTTATTTTCATTGCTCCTTATGATGCACAGAGACTTGAAAGGTTGGTGTTTTTTTTAATATGACTTGACTTTTTGCATTAGAGATGTAGATTTTGCCTTTTAGTCACTTTAAATGTGACTCCAAAATTAGCATACTGAAACCAAAGTTATAATGCAATTGTTTTTTAACAATAAGTGATTTTTTTTTTTTTTTAAGCCGTAGTCAATAACATGATAAATGTCTGTGTTTTAGTGCTGATGAGTTCGTTTGGAGAAAAGCAGTTCATGTCAAGTTTAAACACCTTTGCCCTGATTTGAGGATGATGAGCTAGCTGCACATCTTGTAGTCCTTCAGTAAAGCTAGCCAGCAGATTGACATTCCTGGGACTTATAATTAGAAAGAAAAATCCACTCTTAAGAAGGAGAGAAGTGTTCACTTTATGGATCAGATTATGTTTCATTTAAAGCACTTTGAGAGAGAAGGAGGAGGGGAAAAAAAAATCAGACAATTATAGCGGGGGGTTTTGGACAAGCAGAACTTGAATTATGACTTCTTTAGACTGGTGCCTGCTGGGATAACGAAGTATTAACTAGATCAGGAATTTTTGCATCATTATTTATCTGATACAGTATAGCAAATACAGCTGTATTTATAGCAACTGGTTTACTGTAGAATTTGGTTTACTACCTTGATTGTATAAAACCATGTTTTTAATTTCAAACAAAAAATTGCTTACAACAGTATGGAAAAAATGTCTCTATTCATAATACCACTAGGAATTTCACTAAAAATAGTAATCAGAAATGCTCTTCTCTGCGTTGCTTAGAATTAATGTGATATGAAATACACATGCTGCATTTTATAGCTACCCTGTGAAAAAAGTATTTTGGTTTATTGGGTTTTCATTCTTGTTTGATTAACTGACAGAGAAAAGATGCCAGAATCGTAGAACGCCTGTACCAACAGTTTGTCCTGTTGAAGATGTTTACAATTTGTATGAAGTGAAATAATGTTTTAATACAGTGAGTGAAAGATCCTTGCTTATGCTGTATGGGACTTGCCAAAAAGTAATAAATTGGTTTATTTGTGGCAGATCTTGTTGTGGTCACTTTTTATTTTCTACTTAGATTGTCACTTCTTAATTCTTAGTATTAATAAGTTTAGTCATTTAATTTTAATGGATTTAGACTCCTACTGTGGTATGAATTCTCCAACAACTGACTATTCCTATTCAAGCAGACAAAGCTTTTATGAAATGAAGTTGCTTCTGAACAAAATTTATCCTCAGTGTTTTAACAGTTAAACGTGAACTCTTCTGAAAGGCTGTATTTGAAAATACCGTTGAACTTCTCCATATATGAAAATGATGAAGTGAAACTGAGAGGTTTTTTTCAGAGTTTAGCTTTTAACTTCTTTGTCAGATGACATTTTCTTAGCAAAATAGCACTACTCATTTTGAGTTTATATGTATTTAAGTAGCTTTTCTTGCTTTTATCTGCAATTCATTGACATCAGTTTCTTCAGCCGCTATTTCTTTCAAGGGCTGTTAGATAATTTTTTTGCAAGATTAATTGAGATTAGTTTCCAGTAGGAATGCTCACATGAATGGGAGGGAAACCGTCTAGTGGTCTGCAATAAATTATGTGCACTATTCTTAAAGGGAAGAATCTATTTGTTGTTGAAAGCAATGGGTACAGTCAGGCGAGTCAGGGCATGGAAGAGACCGGCCTCCCCTCAGAGCCACACATGGGGTTTAGCGTTTGTCCCTGTCGCCTTGACTGCGTCTGCACCTGGTCTCTGCTCTCCTGTGCGTCCCTGGTGGTGTGGGCTGCAGCCAGCCCCAGAAAGCAGGTGGGAGGTGGGTGGCAGCAGGAGGGAGCGCAGGCATGTCATAAATTATTTAAATATTCCATGACTTTAAGGATTTTTAAAAGAAAGAAGTAATATAAAATGCAATGAAGCAGCAACGTTCCTTGTGCGTGTTTGTACAATTCTCTTAACTTGTTGTGTTTCCCTATCTTAAAATGTTGCACCAAAGCTAAAACACTGTGAAGAGGAGAATTTGTTTCACAATCTCTTGCCTTGTGGCAAAATTGTCACTAGAGGCACTTTTTGCCTCCTGTCTATGCTGTCTCTTCTTTTTAACTGGCAGTTCAACAAGAGTTGTGACACCCCAGGAAAAAAACAAGGCTGAAATTTCAGGTCTACACAGAGCACATCCTCTCTGCTCTTACTCTATCTCAAGGAGAAACAGGCACTGGCAGCGGGGTGACTGGGCAGATTTGGTGCTGTGGGATGCTGGCCGCCTCCGGCTGTGCTATGATTGAGTGTAATATTGTTATGAATTACAAAAGTGAGAATTATCGTAGCTAAATATGCTGATGGGAGGTGGGGTGGGGGCTCTGCCTCTGCGGTTGGTGTTGGGGCTGCAGATTTTGCCCAGTTCTCTAACCTTCCTCCTTCACCAGTGCTGGTTGCTTTGCAGCTCATAAATTCACTGATGTGACAGTTGAGTAAGCAGAGAGAGGGAGCGTCTCTTTTGTAGGCGATACGGGTGGTTGTGGTGCAGGCGTTGTAGTGTGTGTTCTGGGATGTCCTGATGCGACGTACTGCCTAGGTGGGCTGGGGAGGTGGCATCTTCAGGGGTGAAGCAGCCTTGATGCTAAAGGAGTGAACGCTGAATGCCCTGGAGATACCCTAAAGGCCACGGTGAGTCTCAGAATGTCTCACCTGCATCATCTGGGAAGTCGAAGGCAACGCTTCAGGCCGTCAACTTTCATAGGCCATGGAAGTGCAACAACTTTTTATTTGTAGTCCTTAAGACACGACCTGCCCTCCTCTGTTTCCAAGCTGATGTGCTGGGATGTATGAATGACAAGCATCCCATGTTGACTACTTAATCTATGTAAGTAGCGAAGCAGACTTAAAAATAGGATCTGAAATATGGAAGGCATTTTCTGGGCTTTTCTTGGCTCCAGTAAGAACACTAACCCACCAATTCCTTTGTTTTGAGAGACTAATAAAAGCAGCAGATGGGTTGTGATTAATCACTAGAGGCATATGGTATACGTATTTCTGAATACAACTAAAATCCTTAGTAATTGCCTTTGCATGTTATAAACAAGTATATCATAAAAAGAATTGTTCACACACACACAAAAAATCTTCATTAAAATTCCAAATAAACTGATGTAATCTCTATGTTCCAGATTAAGTAAATACATCAAGGTGCTGACTGAAAAGCTTTATCTTCTTTACAAACTAGAAAAACTGGAGCGCGTAAGCTTAAATAGTAACAAGATAAAAAATATTCCTAGGGAGCTATGTTTTCTGCAAAAGCTTCCTGAACTTCCTCAGTCCTGCAAATGTTTTCTCAGGATATCTGAAGAGATTAGATGCATGAAGAGTCTGAAGATGCTGTCTTTGTCCAGAAACAAACCTAGACTTTCTAGATGTGAGTAATACTGGTTTTTTTAAAAGCGCTTTTTTTTTGAGAATAGTGTTGTCTTATAAAAACATTTCAGCAAGATATCTTTTTTTTTGAACTTACTATGTAAGTCATAAAGATGTTCTTTAATAATTGCATTCTGGAAGGTATTTGAATACTCTTTAGAGGACGCTAAGGACATGGAGATTTTAAATGATTAATTCTTATAGACATACATATCCTATAAAACTCAAAATATGAATAAAACCTCAGCAGTCTAAATAGGCAATAGTTTGTTGTTAAATCCTAATAAGGCTCCAATGAGTTGGGAAGGAGCGAGGGACAAATATCTAATGAAGAACCATTTTTCTCTTAGCTGTATACACAATATTGGAACGCAAAAAGCCAGAAGCAGAATAGGGAAAGTTGTTGCTAACTGGGGATACCTGAATGAAATGCACAAAAATATCTGGGCAAAGAACAGGGAGGCGAGAGAGAATGCAAACCTGAGGTCTAGCCAAGCAGAGAGGTGGCAAACTAAGCTAGTAGCCTGTTTTCCAGAAACAAAACGTGGATGAATTGTGTGTGACTCCGTGTGATCTGTTCTTATGCTAAAATATGTTTCTGAAAGGGAAAAGAAAAGA